GTGTTTCAAACTTGCAGACACCATGTCCTGAATATCCTTTGAAATCAACCAACAGATTCCAAAGTTTTTATCCAAGGATCCATTTTATACATTTACACATATAACACTGTAATTGCATAAGATTCATAAGTGTTAAGAAATGTTGGTAAATTTCACTTATTTCCTTTACTCTTTTGAAACAGTCATATGCCAAATCAGCCCTTCTCAAGTCCTGTTGGAGGACTTGCTGTAGGTCCTAGCAGGTTGGGATGTCAAGGCTGTGTTGTGCCACAGCCTGAGGCTGAGTCAGGGGAGGTTTAGGCTGGATATTAGGGAAAGGTTATTCACGCAGAGGGTGGCTGAGCACTGGAATGGGATCCCCAGGGAAGTGGTCACAGCACCAAGCCTGACAGTTCAAGAAGCATTTGGACAACACTCTCAGGTGTGATTTTTGGGGCTGTCCTCTGCAGGGTCAGGAGCTGAACTCGATGATCCTTGTGGGTCACTTCCAATTGAGGATATTCTATGATCTATGTTTCCAGGCCATCCCTTAACCAGAGAGGAGGACTGCATCCTTTGAACAATGTTCTCAGAAACATAAAGCACTCTCAGACCATTCTGGTTTAGAGGACATCAGTTTAGTGCCTTTCAGGAAAGAGGTAAAAATATCCTTAAAATGCAATAACATCTGAGGATCTCCTGATATTCATCTCTATGTGTTTTTGGCTCCTGAGGAATCACCTCATCCCCCTGTGCCTGTGACCCCAAGCCCCCTCTTATTCTTTTCATTTTTTTTGAAGCCCTTGGCTGCCTCTGCAGTGACTTCTGCTAAGAGAGTCCACGGCAAGTTAGAAATAAAAGAAAACTTGCGATGGCATCGGGTCCTCTGCTCCTGTTCCTTTGAATTTATGGTCTTTACACCACAGATCCACACACGGGTTGTAGACACAAAGGTTGACAACCTGAGGTGAGGGCCTTGGCTGTAAAGTGACAGCAGCTCCTGAGTTGTGCCAGCTTGAGTCTGTGACACACTGGGTGACCCCTGTGCCTCACACGTACCCAGAACCTAACTAATGGGAGATGTTAAATATATCCTGTATAGCCTCAGGAATGGGCAGCCTCTGCCCCTCATCGGTCAGGGGACTAAGGGAACCTCACCCCAGAGGACAGGGGACACCGCTGTACTGAGCCCAGCCTGGGCTGTCTCCCCTTGACTCTGCCCCCAGGCTCTTCTTTGTCTTCCTCAGCTTCCTCTTTGTCATCTTTGTTTTCTCCTTCTTCTTCTTCTTCTCCTTCCTCTTTCTTCTCCCTCTTCCTTCTTCCTCTTCTTTCTCCTCTTCTTCATCACTTTTTTTATATTTATCTTCTTCCTTCCTCTTCTTCTTCTTCTTGTTCGTCCTTTTCCTTCTTATTTCTTCTTTTCCTCATCTTCCTTCTTGTCATCACCATTTTCTTCCTTCTTCTTCCTCTTCTTCTTCCTCCTCATCATCTTCATTTTCTTCTTCTTAGAATCACAGAATCATAGAATCACAGAATATTTTGCATTGGAAGCGACCTCAAAGGTCATCCAGTTCCAACCCCTGCCATGGGCTGGGACACCTTCCACTATCCCAAGCTGCTCCAAGCCCCATCCAGCCTGGTTTTGAACACTTCCAGGGAAGGGGCATCCACACCTTCTTTGGGCAACCTATGCTAGTGCCTCACCGCTCTTACAGGGAAGAGTTTTTTCCTAATATCCCATCTAAACCTGTCCTCTGCAGTTTAAGGCGATTTTTGCTTCTCCTGTCACTCCAGCCCTTTGTCCAAAGTCCCTCTCCAGCTCTCTTGGAGACCCTTTAGGCATTGTAAGGGGCTCTAAGTTCTCTCTAGAGCGTTCTCTTCTGCAGGCTGAACAACCCCAGCTCTTTCAGCCTGTTTCCACAGCAGAGGTGCTCCAGCGCCTCTTGTTCCATTTCTATTTCTTTCCCTCTTCCCTTTTCCTTTTTCCCTTTTCCCCTTCCCTCACGCTCCCCTCACCCATCGGCCCCGCCCACTCCCACAAGCCCCGCCCCTTATCCAGCCCCGCCCACACCCACGCTAGACCACGCCCCCTTCGCCGTCTGTTCCCTCCCCATTGGCTCCTGCGGGCGCCACGTGACGCGGCGGCGGCGCGCGCGGGGGCGGGGCCGGGTGCGCGGGTGCGCTCGGGGCGGCGGCGGGCGCGGAAGACGGGCGGGCGAGGGGAAGCGGCGGCGGTGGCCGCACGTGGGTCCGCCCGCTCAACAATGCGGGCGGGAGGGGTCCGTGCGCCGCCGGCTGCGGGGCCACCGCGGCGCGCGGAGGGGGCTGCGCCGTGCGATGAACCCCCGGAGCGGGGTGATGGCTCCGCTGCAGCCATCCCGGGGCTGTGGTGGGGGGGCAGCATGTGGGCCCCCCCCCGGCCCCCAGCGAGGCTACGGCACCTTGAGATTGAAGCCAGAATTAAGGAAGGGGAGCTACAGCCCCGGTGTGCCGGGGTCACGGACGCTGCTTCCTCCCCGCTGGGAGCCCACGCGCGGTGCCGCAGTCCCCCACCCCGTGTGCGGACACGGAGCATCCCGGCAGAGCCCATCCCGCCGCGCTCCGTGGGTGGGATGCGGCGTGGGCACCTCCAGAGCTCCACGGGGCCTCTCCACTCCCGTCCGGGGCCGGACGCAGCGATCGGTGTCACAAGGGGCCCAAGGGGGGAAGCGCCGTGTTCCTCCAGTCTGTCCGGCCTCGCCATCCCTGAGGATGTTTCCCTCTCCGTCAAACGAATGGGGCTGCCCTGCATCGGTAGCCGCGGCAGGGGTGGCCCATCCTGGGTCGTGTTTAGAGCAGGCTGCCCCGGGAAGTGGTGGAATCACCATCCCCGGAGGTGTTCAGAAAACGTGTGGCTATGGCACTTGGTGACATGGTGGTGGTTGTGCGTTGATGGTTGCACTTGGTGATCTTGGAGGTCTTTTCCAACCTGGATGATTCAGTGATTCCATATTTGAGCATGTCTCCTTAGGCTAACAAGTCATTCCTGGCCTTGGTATGGCGTGGGGGCTTGGGAATGCCAGTAGTTCCCCTTCCCTGGGCAGGCAGGTCACATAGCAGGAGGAATACTCCATGTCATGCGTTTCTCTGCCGTAGGTAAAGTGGATTTTTGCATGCCACTGGAATTACTAATCCAAGCAATTAGCTGGAATCTGTCAAGTTTGCGCTGCTGCCAATTTCTCCAGTTCATTTGGTTACAGCTTCATCTTTCTGCTCAAAGGAACTGCAATGTAGGCAGGGCAACCGAGTGTCTGGAGCTGTTGGGTTGGGTTTATGTGCATCCTTCTGGCCAAAGGAGGATCAGCAAGAAAACTGAGCCTTAATGAAGTCGTATATTTATTGGCAGCAGTGGGAAAAAAGTGGATAAATGGGGCTAGTGGCTTGTTTGTATACAAAATGTCATGAATCTCCCTACCAGGTTGTGAGCTGGATTTAAATTCCACTGTTACAAGGATCACTGATTTTTTTATCATATTATTGCTAATAGCTTACATTAAAAATGCTGCAGGTGGATTTAAAGCTGAGGACCTTGAGGGTTCAGTAGTGTTCTGCACCAATATTTAGGTACATCCCGGGACTTAACAGTGTGTTGTCCTTTGGCTTCAGAGTTAACTGCCCAGCTGGCAGGGGCTGATGCAGCATGGTCCCTGACACAGCCACTTTCTGGGGGTCTCAGATGCCACCAAATTTCCCAGTTGGGCAAGTGAAGTGACTTTTACTGATTGGTAAGTGCTCCAACCTGAAATCTGTTCCTTTTGGGAATATTAAAACTTTAACTTTGGTTAACTTGTGTCAAAGGTGTGTTGCCATGAGCCTTCACCCTGTTGGCTCTGCTTAGAAAGATGGCTGCTTGCAGAAACAAAAAGTTTTTGCTACAGCTATTTTATTTTTATGTGTGCTTTGATGGCTCAAAAATCACTCAGCTTCCAGTCAAGGCGATCCTGGGTGAGAAGCATCCACTGGGATTGGCCTGTTAAGTGAATTTCTTTGATTTGACAGTAGAAGTGCCCATAGAGACATCAAAAACCCCAACATTAGGGCATGTTTCCAGCTTCATCATCCCCTGCAAGCCATGGAAATCAGTGGCTTGAAATCCAACAGAACTTGATGTTAAAATAGCAAACAGTAAACATCGTCTCCTATCAATAACTTTAATTATGGTTTGTGTTTTGTCTTAAATAGACACACATTGTCATAGGGAATCAAAGTTTAGCATCCAGACGTGCTCAGTGGGGTGGTTGCGTCTTTGAACAGGGTGTAACACGCTTTTATAGCATAAATTAAAATAAAAAAGGGGTTTAGCAGCGTAGCATGCTGTTGTGTAAGAAAACTGCCAAATTTTGGGCTGAGACTGCATGGTTTCTGGGCATCGTGTGCTGCGACGTGTTGGCGGGTGGCGTTCCCGGGCAGCTTTGGACGGGGAGAGCGAGTTTTACCACTCTGCAGCTGAACCCTGACAGGATTTTTCAACCATAAAACAAAGTGCGGAGGAGGCTTTGTGTGTGCCACGGATAGCCAAACCAAAAGCAAAAATAAACACCCGCGAAAGATGGGTTTTTTTGGTCATTGACAGAAAAGGAAAGTGCCGGTCTAGGGGAGGGTGTGAAGTCCCATGTTCGTTACGCTCCTAATCTGGAAAATACAGACTGTGGCACATGGCATCAGCGTGCGTGGCTAATTTTATATCTTGTCCTTTTCCCTTTCTGATTTAACCCAAAATTAAGGAAGGGAAGCAGCACCCACTGGCCTATTAAATGTTCATTTTTGCCAAGTTACGCCACTTTGTGAACACGAGACACGACCGGATTCCTGTGGCAAGGAGCCCTTAAAATTTCAACAGCTCTACCTATAAATACAGTCACCGTGAAAGGCAATCCGGCTTTAAAAGAAAAAAAAAGCAACCATGCTCTTTTTTTAGTCCCACTGTATCTGCCTGACTTTAGTGCCATGCGATGCATCTCCAGCCGGGCAATGAAGCCGAGGCGGTGTGGAACATTCAGTCTCCTGATTCCTCTTGCTAATTTGTGTGAAGAATCGGTGCAAGCAGAGAAAAGAAATTCATTTTAGTTGTCCTGAAGATTTTTGGTAATGGGATGGTGGGGCTGAATTTCTGCAGCCACATCATGACCTTCTGCAGAGGGACCTTTGGTGATTGCTTGGTCCTGGTGAGTTCCCAGAAGCTGCTGCATTGTGGGGCAGTGCAGGAGCCTGAAGCATCCCTTGGCTCTAAAGCAATGTCCCAGATGAAAATTAAAGGGAAGAAAAAGAAAGAAAGAAGCTGGCTACCACCTCACCCCAGAGGTGTCTGGGCTCACCCACTGCTCTCTGATGCAAGCACAGCAGCTCAGGGAGCTCAAGGGCTGCTTTTGGACATGCCCAGGGTTGCCCAGGGACAGGCTGGCTTCGGGAGCAGGTACAGCATGTTCTGGGCACTCCTCCAGGCCAGTGGGACCCCCCACCAGCCCCAGATGATGTAGTGGGGTGATGGCCATTGGCACATCCTGGTAGAGAAGACAGCACTGCCTGCAGGGCTGGGATTTAGGTGGAGAAGCTGTAAGGGAGGGTGGTTTTGTAGCTTAGTGATGCTTTTCAGCGTGCCCTGCGCTTGCATGGCAGAAATCCACCTTTATGGCCAGAGCAGCTGTGTCACCTTGCAGTGCAAACCTGCTGGGTATGGTTGGGATGGGGCACGGGCTGGGAAGCATGTGGGAGTGGGGCGGGAGAGCTCAGCACGGGGAATTGCTGCGTGTGCACTTGGGCGAAGTGCTGAGCCTGGGCTGCGCGGGAGCTGCAGACAGAACCCACACGTGACGTCTGAATTTCAGATGATTGCTGGACCACTTTGCCAACAGCCTCTCGCAGCTCATCAGCTGCAATATCGCTTCTTCTTTTCCCCGATTTTTTATTATTTCCTTTCCCCTTCCCCACCCTGCCTGTTTTCTAAGCCGAAGCAGGAGGGATGAACACGACACCGAGGGTGGCTGCAGCTGCGCAGGGTTTGTATCCAAATGGTTTCCTGGAAGGCAAGTTTTTTTGTTGTTTTTCAATCTTAAAAATATTTTTACAGCGAGTGTCTCGTATCGGGGCTGTTTGGATGTCAGGTTTAGTTTCCCATGACATGGAGTGATTAGAGGAGGGAGGGGAAGGAGGAGCTGGGTGCTGCTTTATGTGCAGATCTCTCTGCAGCAGTGTCATTGCCTATTGATGGTAAATGTGTTCCCTCTCATCTCTGTGATAGTTCTCGGAGATTTCCTCTTTTACGTCACTGCAGTTAATAAGATGTTTAACTTGGGAGCTGGGGGCGATGTGCTGTGCTATCGTGTTGCAAGGAACAGGGGGATGACGAGTTCCTGCGCAGACTTGTGCTGGGAAGATCGTATCAATGCTGGGGAGAACAGCTGGGTCTGGAGACAAACCATTGCCTTTCACCCTTAATGAACCTGACCTGGCTGCATCTCTTTTTTTTTATCATGACAATGATTATTTTCCTTATAATACTGAGAGAGGCAACTCAGTCCTCTTTATCTGCTGCATTGTTGGAGTCAAGTGTGCAACTTGATTTTTTTAAGCAGAATGTGTCTGCCTGGCTGCACTTAAGCTCTTTCATTTTCTCTTTTTTGGGGACCACTGAAGCATTTCATGAGAGCACCTGATGGCTTTTTCTGGTGATGCTGCAGGTGCAGTAACTGCAGAGCCGGAGCCCTCTCCAGGAAAGTCCTTGACTGTGTGTTTTGTGTGTCACCAGTTGATTATAGAGTTAAGGAAGTGTTGCTATTGTACATGCCTTGACCAGGAATAGCCTCCCTCCTGCCACAGTTTGCAAGGCCAGCTCATCGAGGGCAGGCGAGTTGGTCAATAAACGCTCCAGCAGTACCCTAGGGAGTTGTGAACCAAAATGGGAACACTTGTGTCCTTCAGCTCCTCCTTCCTTGCCAAGTTGTTTTCTTCCCCCAGCTCCTTCTCCAGCTTGCCACTCAAACCCCCTTCATTCTGCTGTGTTTTTCCACAAATGTTTTTCAAGCGTGACAGCAGGGAGAAGAAAGCCACGAGTGCTGCAGGAGGCTGATGCCTATCAGGCCAACCCTTGCCTGTGGCTTTGAGGGCCCCTTCACCTCAGTGACTTGGTGGCTTCAGGTGGGTTCACATCTGGCAGCTGTTGGGTTTGGAGTTGTTTCTGTCTGCCACCAGACCCAGCCCAGCCACCTGCACCTATTCCAAGGCTCCCAGCTGGTCCCCAGGGCTTGAGTCAGTCAGGGTGGCCATGGTGTCCCTATGTAGGTGTGGAGGGGAGACGGGCTCCGTGACACTCTCAGGGAAATGGGGACATGGAAGGTTTGCAGGAGGAACAACCACAGCCCTGGTGGTGGCATTTTCCAACCTTCCATCAGGACCAACCTCGCAGTCCTGATGACATTTAGCTGCTGACTTGCTGTCACTGATTTTTCTCAGTAACCCTTTTCTTTTTAAGTAAAATGCTGCTTAAAAAACAACATGCCACCAACATGTTGGGATGTTGATTTAGTTTTTGGAAGGCTTGCAGCCTCCCAGTTCTGCTTTTGCTCTGAGGAGGAAGCAACATGGTTGGGTGCAATTTTCAGCCCTCGTGGGAACAGGGTCTAAGAAGATGACCCTACCACATCACAGCTCACACCCTCACTGCTGGATGAGGGAGTTAATTTTTCTCACTGCTGCCATGCACAAGAGCCCCTTTCTGTGCTTTTACTGTGAGCTGGGACAAGGGGAATTTTGGGTGCAACTCCAGGCAGTGCTGGCTCGGCACATGTCCCCAAGCATCCCAGCTGGGTGGCTGCCCAGGGCCCCCTTCATGCAAACGGGGTCAGCAGCTGGGAAATAGCAGAGCAAAGTGCCTCCCTGGTAATTCCCAGCTGCCGTTAAAGCGGCTTTAAAATAAATTCCCTCAAAGAGCAATTCCAAGTATTTGAGGGTTTGAACTTTTCCGGAGAAGGGTTTGGGAGCTGCCGGCTACCGCACTGCACCCTGGCATGCCGGGGAGAGGCGCCAGGGCAATTGCCCTGATTATCCCAACATCTAAAAAACACTTTTTTTGATGTCTATATGATGTTTATTTTTTAGCTGCATGTGCAGCACAACTGTTGGAAATGGGGCACTGCTGGAAGCAAAGTTGTGCTAAACTGGGAAGATGGGTGGCTGGGCAATGTCCTGGGCTGGAGGCAATGCCCAGGGCTCAGTGACCCTCACCGTGCCATCCTACCTGGCCACCAGCCTTATCCAGGGGTGCAGCACTGCCGGGTGCCCCTGGCCGCACATTCCATAGCCAGCTCTGCTAGGTAACGTGGGCACAACAGAAAACAAACTTTGCAGCAAGCTTTCCTCTCCCAGAGCCCCTGAAGCTTGAAAAAAAAAAAAACCCAAAAAAAACTTCGAAGCAATGTGGTCTTTCTTTTTCTCATGCTCATGAAAATTCTCATACCAAACCAGTAACCTCCGCTGCCCCCAGTTCATTATTTTTTAAGGTGGCGTTAGGGGGCATTTAAGGGAAGGCTTGTCTCATCCTCTGTGTCCCCTCCTCTCCTACATCCCGTCATGGCAAATTACAGCTTCATCCGTGCTTGTGTGGCAGGCACTAAAAGGGGGAGGTTTGGTCAACAAACTAGAAGGTTGGTCTCATCCCTGAAAGGCTTTGGATGTCCCTGTGCTGGTGCTCCCCGGGGTGATGTGTTGCTGCATCCAGACTGGTGCAACTTTTTGGTCACGGGAATGTCCCCATGAGGCTGAGTACCCTGAGCTGGGGACAGCCAAGCTTTTCCCTGCAGAGATAGTTCTGGGCTCTTGCCCAAGTCCCCTCTCCAGGGCCCTGGCACCAGTGCAAGTGCAGCCAAGCTGAAGGCTGATGATTAAACCCATGATCCAGGTCACTCCTGCCCCTCTCAGTGCCCCAAAAAATAAGGATGCTGATAGCAAGACTACATCCAGTTGGGGATGTTGCACTTCTCTGAGCAGTTCAGCAGGTTTGGGGGTGAGGTGAGCTGATTAGGGGTATAACCACCCTAAAAAAAAAACATTGCAGCAGGGGCTTCTTCCCCACCCACCCTTCATTGCCATGGCTAAGTTGCTTCCATTTCAAACTGATTTTGTTCATGGGCTGACCTTTACTCCGGCAGCTTCTTACTGAAATTTCTTTCATATATATAGTTTTTAAATAATTTTTTTTTCTGTGTGGGCATGACAGAGCTGTCTCTTGAGGTGGCAGAAAACACATCTTGCCTCTTAAGGACAGGTAGGGAAACCTGCACATGGCACAGGGAGATTTGCTGTGGATGGGACAGCACTGGGTACAACCCAGTGCTGTCCCAACCCAAAGTCGCATCCACTGGACCACACACTTAGCTCCTTTTTTTTTTTTTTTTTCTCCTCCCAAACTAATCCCTCCAGCCCCTTAGGCTTTTTTTGTTGTTGTTGTTGTTGCTCCTCTCTGAATTCCTTCTAATTTGCAGGCTCACTGCCAGCATCCAACGCGCTATAAAAAGGGGACTTGTTCTTCAAGCTTCCCTCTGGTACAGAGCATTTGCACAAATAGCAACACGCTTGACAAGTAGGTCTAATTCCCCCTGCTATTACCAAAATGCTCCTAGGGTGCTCGGGGAGTAGAGCTGCTGTCTCAAGACAAGCCAAGCTGAATTTCACACAGGGCCCTGAGCCCAATTCCCAGCCGGTGTTTAAGCTCCTGTCAGCTGGAAAAACGGAGCTGTGTATTTTTATTTTCCTCCCCATGCAGCTTCCCTCTCTCTCTGAGAGCGAGCGGATGCGCTTGCATCCCTTGGTATCCCACCAGCACAGGTGGGATGTGGGCTGTGGCTGCAGACCCATGTCCTGCTGAAGGCAGCCCCAGGGCCGCCCCCAATTTTTGGCTGGTTCCCCCCCGGTGTTACAAGCAGCCATGACAGAAACCCCCTGCCAGCTTCCTTCTTAAAACTAATGAGCTGTTTGACCCTGGCAAGTCCTCTGGGAAAGCTGTTGCCAGAGCCTTGCTGCTCACACGGATACAAACTGCTCTCATTTCCAGCTTAAATTTATTTGTGGATGACTCGTACCCATTTGGCCTTGTTCTTCTTGTACCCACACTGGCTTTTAGCTTGGATGGCTCCTTTCCCTGCTCTGGTATTTATCCTCTGGCAGGCTTTGC